AGGTGGTGAAGTTGCTCCTGGCGTGCCCTGCCTTGGACTCTGCTCACGTCGAACTGGTACAATTCTGTGATTTGGTGAAATATATAATATATATAAATATTTCTCTAGGGTTTGTTTTTGGCGTGTCAGACTGGGCATGCCACGATCGTGCGATATCTGTTGCAGACATCCCCCCATCCAGTCAATGTAAATGCGCTGATGTCGATTTCAGAAGATCAGGTACGTAGCTGTATCATCTATTTTAGGTAATAGATGATAAAGATGATGTAATAAATGAATAGGAGGCTGTCACGTGTCTGGTGGTGGCGTGCGGCCACAATCGCGAGGATGTTGTAAGAGTCCTCCTCGAGCACCCAGCCATTCAAGTGAATGCTGTCCCAGGGGTATAATATATATATATATGTTATTCATTTCTAGAAAGCATTTCCCTATAGATATATATGTGTAATATCTGTTTGTAGATGCCTTACGTGCCGTTGGTGCAAGCGTGTGCGTTTGGGCACTTTGAAGTCGTCAAGCTCTTGCTAGGACATCCGAGCGTCGACGTACACTGCAAAAATGCGGTAATATTAATCTAGTAATCTATTAATTACTGGTATAGATTGGATATATTATATTATCCCTTGGTTGCTTTTATTAGGATTGTTCATATCAAAGTAATTGTGTAGGCGGGGACGACGGCCATGTCGGCGGCGACTGCTGGTAAACACGTGACTGTCCAAGCTATTCTAAGGCAGCACCAGAAGCCATCCGTCGCGAGGGAGCCGGCGCTGGTACGTCCACCAACAACCAGTTCTCATACAGATATATTATTTGTTATTAACCGTAGAAACGACCAAAGCCCAACAGCCCCATGCATTCGACCAAGGCGGCGTAGCTGATCCAACCACCTTGAATACTCTACTAGGAATGCAAAGCAGACGGAGATGATAATATGGGGGTGATAGCCACGAGCGAGTTGGGAGCTAGCTACTAGATGGATTAGAACAGACAATAGTATTATTCATTGTAAACCATGCACGGGACTCGGCCAAGTCGGTCCGGCGGGGGTCGACAATGTCCTCACACCCGCTAAAGCACGGGATCATGAGTACCGACACGCCACCCTACGACCACTCTCAGTGACAGACACTACAGGGGGGTGCACTGGCCACTTGCAGCAAAAAGTTCACGTCCAAGGCGGCAGTCGATCTGTCCGTACATGCATACATACACCAGATATGGGGTAATTGCCGCCTGCGATGCCGTAAATAACATCATCGCATGACGTACGACGGTAGAGGAGTGACGTCCGCGCAGATATGGCCTAGGATCTGGTCGACAATGTCTTGACCAAACGACCCCATCAAAACACTTGCAAGTATGACAGAGGCTGGATCACTAGACACCACGCCATGCCATCCTGTTTGAGACCACTGGACTGAGCAGGGAGTAGAATGCTCCCTCCCAACACGAAAGCAATTTTAATTATATTTTTTATTGTATTAATACTTTCGAGTAGGATCGGTGCCCCCCTCCCCATATTTGTATCAAATTTCTATCAACATTGTTCGATTTTCCATCGAGTTATTTTTTTAAAGTTAAGATTAATAGAAATTATTTTTATAATGAATCCTTTTTCTTCAATTTTTTTAAATAATAATCTTTGTTTAAAGTTTTTAGATTGTTTTTGCATAATTTATAGTATTTCTGGAGTTAACAATCGGCGCGAGTATGTCCCAATGTCCCAACATCGGAAGCGCACCACATTTCAAGTTTCTTGAATTCACGCACCATATATATTTAGACGTGAAGGAATCCATTTCAGCACCATCCGGATACCAGTAGGTGCTTTATCCCATTTGACAACAGCGATGAAGGATGATGTGTGCGTTGAACAAGCGAGCATCACTGCGAGAAAGAGACGAAGTACGTGGATTGAGTTACGCATCATCTATCTCGACGACTCAAGCAACGTACCTTTTCTTCTCTTGGGCGAATGCGTGTGCGGCGTCGAGTCGTCTGTGACGCAGTCCGTTCGCCGCTTGCCATTCTGCATGCCCAGTTGCACGGTGGATGGTCGCACGATCCACGACGGGAGCTGGTTCCTTCGCACGTAATGCACTTGGAGGTCCATGTCGCTCGTGCGCTGGGGCCACATATCTAACACGGCCGCGAACTCCTGCACCGCCATCGTGAAGTCCACACTAAATCGCTGGGCGTTGTCGGGGAGGTGGAACGCAAGGCCCACAAAGCAGCACGACGACGACGTGGTAGTACTACTACTACTACTAGTAGTAGTAGTACTATCACTGTCGCCAGGGATGTCGTAGAACCGCGCGAACGGGGCAATGTCCACGTCTTCCATTTGCTCCAGTCTAGGGAAAAATCCCCGCGAAAGATACAATCAACGACATGCATGGGGACGAATATTCCCTGGGGAGATGTCCTCGTACCGGCCAAAGAAGGAACGCAGGCGGCACTCGACCCAGCCAAACCACGCTGTGAACTGGCTCGCGTGGGACGAGATGTCAATGCGCAGGAAATGTTCCCATCTACCACCCAAGCCGTTGGGAATATTCCCACAACCACATTGCATGTACTACTACTACTACCGGTCAAAGAAATTGGATTCGACAAACAGCTCTTCCCAAGGCAAGCTCTACCGAAACCACATGTAGTCGCGTCAATATATAAATATTTATAATATAATATATATATATATATATATCTAGTCGGACCTGCAATTCAATGTCCACACACACCGTGGCCGCCTGTCGGAACTCGGCTTGCATGAGGCGAAGGGTACTGTCCATCACATTGTACGACGAATTCATCGCGGGGTATGCCGGCGTGATGATCGGCATGAGGTGGAGGCGGTCCCGCGGGTATACTTTAGGGTTCCACGACTAGAAAAAAATATAAAAATATTTCAAAAAGGAAACGAAATGGAAATATATATTTGTTCACCGTGAGGCCGAGCAGCTGGTCCGCGTCGTCGTCCATCACGTTGTTGAGCAAAATCGGGTTGGGCCAGATCCACTGGTGGTACACACGAAAGAATTTGGTCAGCAGGGTGCCTAATTGTATCATAAAATATATATCATATTGTTTGGGAAAAAAAATATATATATATATATATATATGCTTGTGTATACCCGCTAGCGAATGAGGGTACAGCTGGCACACGCGAGCGACTAAAATGGCCCAGTTTACCCCGCCCAAGAAACCCAACACGTTCGAATAGATGCCTCTCATCTAAAACAAGGTAAATGAAATATAAATGAATATACAGGAATAAGTTTGGGTGGTGTACGCGCGCCCAATGCTTGACGGCTACCAACGTGAGCCGGAACTGGTCGATATTCGGCACCAGCTGCAGAATCATCTCGGCCACACGACACCCGTTCAAGCTTCGGACCTGCAAGTAGTAGTACTAGTCGTCAGCGCTAATAGGTACTACGCGGAACACGTACGCCAGGCTCGTCGACGTCGGTGAGGGTGTTCGTGTCGAGCACGTTGATGTCTTCGGGGACACTGGCGACGTCCAACGTGACGAAGAGGAGGTCGATGGCGACGCCCAGCACTTCCAACTTGATCACGGGCACGTACGCGTCTGGGATCGCATGCACCGCCGCCGTGACTTGGGACTGTTGCTTGAGAAAGGACGGGAACGACGAGAAGAACCCGAGGCGAGAGCAATGGCGAGGCGCCAAGCACAACGTGTCGATGTCCGCCTCGGGACTGTGTACACCCAGTCGATACGACCCAAACGTCCGAAGTTGCGTCAGTCGTGTCGTGGCGCCGTCGATGAGCAGCCCGCGCTTTGTTGCTTCAGCCTGAGCCCAGTGTTCGACCCAGTCGCCGACAAGTTCTAGCGCGTTTTCTCGGCGTAAAGAACCCTCGGCGCCTTCGTACAGGTTCCATTGCCTGTTCGGAAGGGTTAAGCACGCCCATGATGTAGTATAATCGACGGACCTGAGCGTATCGGTGAGGGATGTCGTCATTTGGTGGTCTGTTGATGTGGGGACCGCCTACGATACATGCACATACGAAGATGGACTATACGCAGACGAGTGATGACTTCAGCGATGGGTCTCCGTACCATCGAGATGGGCGGCGTGATCCCGTTATTGGCACCATTGACAAACATGTCCGCGGTGGACGGCGGCGTGAATGAGTGGAATTGGTGTGGGCCAAACAAAGAGCAAACGGAAGAAAACCTCGTTTTAGTAACCACTAACTCATGGTTTACTTCAAAGTACATTTCATTTAAATGATCATAAGATTGTTGGTGTCGTTCAACAGAGGTACACGGGTAGCATACATCGTACCCAAATTTATTTATAGCTGTAACAATACTAGTAGATAAATTACTACTACGAAATATTATTTATAATACCAACGTTAATATTAAATACTTCGTACGTATTATTAATAATATTAACGTTAGTAAGTACTATTACTATTAATAGTAGTAGTACAAAATCCAAGTTGAAAACATATCTTGGTACGTATTATTACTACTTCCTCCGTTCCGCAAAACTGGAGACATATAATTCTCGGAACGATATCTCAGGCCAATAATCCCAAAATCGAACGAAATCTCGACCACAGATAGCCAATCAAAAGACGATTCTGAAGCTATTTTCAGATTTGTTTTATTGTTTCTTGTCGCTTCGCAAGCACCTGGCAGGACCCATTGCTCAGGTCAGGAAATTTTCAAACATACGCCACACAGTCATTTTTCATTCAATCGCGCTCAAATCAAGCGCAAACGACTCGCGGCGCTGCGTAGATATTCCTAGAGCCCATCAGAATTGTATTCCCACAACTGGGCGCGGCATACTTAAGAAATACAGCGACGACCAAGTTGGTATTTGGTGAGGGGAAGTCATACCATCCTCGTGTTGTACCGATTGATGCCGATTGATGCATGATTAGCAGGTGCTGCAACACGAGAGTGTGGTTAGATACTCTAGACGCCTTGGTAGATGATGCCGCGAGAGTACTAGTGCACCTAATGCGTCCCTAGACCGCAGCGCCTGCTCGGCCAGGGCCTTGAGTCAACAGGGCATGCTGAGGCCCTCTGCTTGCATAACCTGCTTAGGAGGTCATGCAAGTCGTTGACATCAGCCGCTTGCACGATTTGCTGGTTAAGTCCCTGGCCGAGCAGGCCCTACGGTCTGGACGCATCGGTTGCTCCACCAGCCCGCTCGCTGTCATGTCCGTCATGGATGCCTTCATTATTACGTTTGTATGTGGACTGGTGGCCAAGTCAGCACATGATGAACCTTCTCGTCGTAAAATCAAGTTTGTGAATAAAAATACACTTTTTGATGGTAGAGCCCATACAAACATTAAGATAAAAATGCAGGGAAAACCAATGTCTCCAGTTTTACTTTGGAATAGAGGAAGTACGTAGTAGTAGTTTGTATAGGACCAACTTTTTACGGATAACGGAAGTAGAACTTGTTATGGGTTAGTTTTGACATTTTGCCTGAGTGACGCATAGGTAAAGTTGTGATGTGCCCCGTTCATTACGAGCTAAGTTAATGACGTGTCTGAGACAACATGTCCAGGAATGTGGTAGCAGCACCACCACAACGTTCCTTTACTGTGCTTTCATTGGCACTATTTATAGCACCTGAAATGGCTACACGGCGATCATTTGCGAAAGTGCCATTATGGCTACGCGGTGGGTGACAAGTCTTGGGCTTGGGTTAGCTATTGTGGACGCAGCTACAACCACGGCGACGCCACTCACGGGGTGCCAGCAATGCGAACAAACTCAAAGGTGCGAATTGGCCTTCCGTAACACCCCCGGCATCTTCTGCGGCCACTGGCTGTCGGGCTCGCAAACGCTGGGGTGCTGCTGCCCCACTGGCGCCAAGTGCGTCGTGACCAACTACGCGTGCAACTGCGACACGAACACCATCACCACGTCCAACTCGAGCGGTGGCCTGGCCGGAGGAATCATTGGCGTTGTGGCGTTCCTCGTCATCTTGTTGATCGCTTGTGTCGTGTGCAAGAAGACTTGCCAAGCCTTGTGTTGCTGCACAACGTCCGGCCATCCCAAAATCAACACCACCACAGCGACGTTCGTGCAAACTCAGCCTTATCCCATGGCTGTGCCGGTGCAGCAACCCGCCTACCCAATGCAAAAACCTGGCTACCCTATACAGCAAGGTAGCTATCCAATCCAGCAACCTGGCTACCCTGTACAGCAAGGCAGCTATCCCATGCAGCAAGGTAGCTACCCTGTACAGCAACCTGGATACGCTGTACAGCAACCCGGCTACCCCATGCAGCAACCTGGCTACCCGATGCAGCAACCAGGGTATCCGATGCAGCAACCGGGGTATCCGATGCAGCAGCCGGCTGTCGTATACGCCCCCCAACCCCAAGTGGTGGTGCACCATCAGCCGGGAGTGGTGTATGGCAACAACAGTGGGTTTGTAACTGGTATGATCATGGGGGGAATGCTCGCGGATGCTGGCGACGGCGGGTTTGGCCACCACCATCATGATGGTGGCGGATTCGGCGGAGATGGCGGTGGGTTTGGCGGGGATGGCGGGGGAGGTGCAGATACAGGGGGGGACTTTTAATTGCACGAGGAATAGTTACACGTAACGTTGATCGAGTAGAGATAAGTGGCAATACAAATGATATAAACTTTATTACGTAGTATATAAGTTGGTAACCACAAACTCCGAAACCCCGCACAAAGTGTACAGTATCTGTACAGTTGACGAACAAATATTGTCAAGACGATACGAAATTGGACCCCTTCAGCAGAATCGAATGTCTCAAGAGAATATATTAAAAGAACCGCCTGATTGGCGAATATCCACTACTCATAGAGCACCGAAAGTAGGTCGTAGCCAATCAGCGACAAGTGATTTTGGATTGACCAATGAGGTCACGTTGAACCCTGGAAAGTATTGGGAAATTTTCAGTGGAATTTATGACAGAAACTAGCCGTTTACTTCTTCAACACTTCGTACACGACCCAGCGGCGGTTGTGCTCTTCTCCATCCATTTTGGGCTCCAAGCACGCGTCGTCGCTGCACCCGCACGCCTTGGCGCCGTCGTCCAGACACGGCCGCGCGCATCCTTCCTTGCCGGCCTTCCACTTGCCGCCGGTCTTGAGCTTGTTAAACACAAACGAGTGACCATCCCGGTCGCTTCGGGCGATGGCAAAGTACTTGGCATTGGCTTCCACCGCATGATGCAAAGCATGGCCAAAGTACGCTCCCGACTGTCCGCCAACGTACGTCTTGCCTTCAAAGCTGTTTTCGGTACCGTAGCAGCCCACGAGTTTGGTCGGCGGCAACTTGGCCGCGTCGTCGTCGTCGTCGGTGTCGGACGACGAGGTGGTCGGCGCGGCGGCGGCAGACCCGCCCTTGCCTTCCATGCGGTTATGGTACTCCTCATGATACTTCTTCGACTGTTCATCTTGAGCAATGTTAAAATCTTCAATCTGCTTGAACGACTTGCGCTTGGCCAGCGTATCTGCGAGCGCCGGCGGGTACTGCCCAGTGCAGTACCATGAGCCAGGGGCATCGCATAGGCGGTTCTTCGGGTCTTCGATCCACCGCTTCGACTCTTCCGACACGCCAACGACCTTGTAGATGCGAAGGAGGCCATACTTAGACTGAAACACGGGGCGGAATCGGTTCGCGTCGACTTTCACCTGGGGGTTGATGCCGTGCTGATGGAGTCGGTACAGCAGACTCTTCTTCATCATGGGCGTCGGGTTGTTTTGCGAGTAAAAGCCAAAGTTGGAGCAGAGAGGGTCCCCTGGGCAAATGTCTTCAAAGACACTGTTGCCGATGCGCGCCAAGTGCGGAGACTTGGCGAGGTCGTCCCCTCCGCCGCCGGCCCAGATGAGCACATAGTCGGCCAGGTGCTTGATGAGGCCGTGCGCGCGCTTCTCGGGGGACGTGAGGCAGCGCGCCAGCAGCGCAATGTGCTCATGGTTCCATGTGTTTCCGTCGGCGATGGTCGTGCGGTTGCCGATGCCTGTGATCTGGTAGCCATAATCCCACCACGCCATGACCCGGGCGTCGTGGGGAGTGTTGTCCTGGAGCCAGAGGTACCCCTCGCGGTAATCGTCGACGATGATCTTCTCGCCACTGCGCAGCTGCGCCTCAAATGTGATAGATGGGCCAGATAGCGGCGCCTTCATCTGCTGCGAGTACTCGTAGAACTGCACCACGTACTGGTACGACACGGCAACCAACACGGTGGCAGCTACCTTGCGGATGAGCTTGGCTGGGCCAGACTCGAGACGCGATTTGGCCTTGGGCTTCTTGTCGCCTTTCTTGGCAACTTTCTTCGCACCTTCGTCCGCCGCGGGTTTGCTGGCGTCGGCGTCGGCGTCGGCTTCACCGCGCACAATCGCATGGATGAGATCGGCGGTTTCGAACAATACAAAGTCCACGGCGTAGCCGCCGATGACGCCTGTGGCGATGGACGCGGGGCCGGCCATGAGCAGCATGAGCCGGTTCATCTTGGTCGAGAAGAAGTACGTCACACCAGAGTACACGACGAGGAACGAGAGCGCGTCAGAACGCGCGTCCTTGCCCGTCACCAGCGGCTTGAAGATGCTCTGGGCTACGACAATCGCGAGGCCGACTGGCGCCGTGTAGCACGTCAGATGCAGGAACTGCCAGAACGCGTCGTGCTTGACCGGCTGGTGCTCGGCCACAGAGTCGACGAGGGGGTTGCCAGTGCGCGTGTGCTGGACAAACAAGCCGCGGATGCGCGACGACAGCGGGCCAAAGTACCCCGTCGGCCACAGCAGCTGGAACACGACGGCGAGGATCGCGAGGCCAAAGCCGGCCACGACGCTGTACACGAGAAACATGTTGGCGCGGGTGGCTTTCGAGGCGTCGATGTTGAACACCTTCTTGAGGAACCACGGGTGGTGGGCGATCTTGAGTCCTTGCAGGCCAAAGAACACGAGCAGCGGCGCCATTTGTTCGAGGGAACGAAGCGGTGCTTTGCCGATCACAGGTACTTGCATGGCGCCAAAGGTGCCGATGACGTACCAGAGCGAGTAGGCCCAGTACAGCTTGTTCGAGTAGCGCCCGAGGAGAACCAGCACGAACGCGTGCAGGCCGATCATGTTTAACACGTAGATGTACCCGCCCCAGGTCGCCGCCATCGCAATGTATGCCAGACCCGTCAAAATGCCAAAGTAGTTGCCCTTCGAGTCGTCGGACGAGTGGAGGGAGACGCACCACAGCAAAAACGTCAGCAGAAGACACGACACGGCAACGGATTCGTTGTCGTATCCGCCGCCCACGGACCGCATCAAGTGCGCGGGGAGGATGGACATGACCCAGCCGCCGACCAGGCCCGCCGTGATGCGACCAGTGCATACGTAGGTCAACGCGGTCAGCGTCAACGTGGCAAAGACCCCACCCCACACGGGGGTGAGGCAGCACACGTCGTTGAGCGAGATCTCAATGCCCGCCTTGTTCAGGAGTTCCCACGCCGTCACGGACACGATCTGCATGCCGGGGTAGATGGTGGTGCCCACAGGGCGACCAAGGGGGTACCACGACATGTAGTCATACCACTTGAAGAAGCGCTCGTACCCGTTGTCGGCCAAATACACAGCTGCGCGGAAGTTGAACCACGGATCGAACTCGTGGATGACCATGCCGAACTTGCGGATGGCGTCCATGCGCTGTTCCGCCGCCATGTAGCCGATCACGACTAGCGACGCCACGGTCGCCACGGCACCGATGGTCCAGCCCACAACGCTGAGCACACCCATGTTATCGCAACTTGCAATGTGAGGCAACAAGCGTGTGCGGGTGGTGGGACTGCCTAGTGTCAACTACGGATTGGTGGAAATCCATGGATACAAACGAAATGATTGGTGGAAAGGGACACTTTAATGGAGTTTGATTGGTGGATTTACTGTTAAGCCAACCAAGTCCCACATGTTTAACCCAAGCCCCATATGTTAGTGTTTGTGCTGTTCAGAGGAGGGACTTTTCTTCGCCTTGGTCGGCTTGGCCTTCTTGCCGTCGTCCAGCTTGATGACGTCGTTCCCGAGGAGCTTGGAAACTTCCAGACCTGCCGTGAATGCGCTGTTGAACATCATGCGCTGCTGGAAGGACGACACGAACGGGACGAACATGGCCACGAACAGAATCGGGCAAAACACGATCCACCCCACGACGTTGTCGAAGAATTGCGCGATCTTGGTCGCGACGATGTGGTCGTGCCGCACGCGGCAGATCGTCACTTGCAGGAACCAGTACGCGCCCAAGCAGACTATGACCAGCACTTCGACTAGCGTTCGCATCGACAGGTAGAGCAGACCGACCACGGCGACCACGAGCAACGCCGCGGAGAGGTTGAACTTGAGTTTGCGCAGTTGCCGTTGTTTCAGGATGAGCTTCTTGGTCACGCGACTAGCAATGTAGCCGCAGCACCCAAGGAGCAAGAGGACGGCAAAGATAGCGCCGGCCAGTATGATGGGTTTCACGGACGCCGCGCCATCGTCCGCCACGGCCTTGTGCAGGTCCTTGTAGAACAACCGGTGCATGAGTTGGAGGTAGATGCCGAACGCGACGGCCAGAAATCTCGTCTTGCGAACCCACGTAACGAAGCGAGAGAATCCCGTCGAGTGCTCCATGAACTCGAGCTCGGACATCCACCACCCGTACCAGCTGTCGGCCGAGTCATTCTTGGTCTTGAGCCAATGCTGCCAGTCGCGGTAGTCCACGATAATCTTGTCCCAGTCGAACGCGCTCGGGTTAAAGAAGAACGGCGCCCACACCCACGTCGCCGCAATCAGCCACAGCGAGTAGCTCATGATGCCGTAGTTCTGGTTGGTGGGTAGTACGCACTGCTGGTAAAAGTTGGCATAACATCGAGCCTTCCATTCATATGGGAGCGGTTCCTGGTCGTTGTAAAACGTGCGATCCAATGTCCACGAGCAGTTGCACCAGTTGAACGACCCGTAAATGCCAAACATGCACAGCAGAAACATGAGCTCCACGCCGCGGTAAAAGTGCGAGAACGCGTAGAACCGATACAATTCGGCAAACTTTTCATGCTTGATGGTGAACCCCCGTCCGGTGGCGCGGTATTTCGCTCCTCCGTGGATCAACGTCCGATCAAAGTAGTGCATCCGAGTGCCCATTTGGAAGGTAAAGAAGAGCGGGCCCAGACTCAGCACGTTCCAAAGTACGAAGGTTAGGCCATGCCGAAATCCACTTTCGACCCCCACGACGCCAATGACAGGCACGACGAGAAGGAAGCCAAACTGGAGCGCCCATGACGTGTTGAGGACGCCGCTGATTCCGAGGCGGCCGAGCTGGAGGTAGAACGCGTCCATGCCGCTGAGTGCAAAGTAGATCTTGCCGTAGATGAAAAAGTACACGCCAAACACAGTCATGGTCTGCGTAAAGTACCAGCCGAGGTTGCCGTAGAACCACGACTGCAGCCGGAACAGGTCGAGGCGCGTGGCCATGCGCATGACGTCGCGGGATGTGACGCACTCGCCGGCGCCGGACGAGAGCTTGGCTTCGAAGAGCGCGAGCTGCTGCATGCCCACGTCGCGCCCCTTGCCCACCTGGATGAACTCTTCGTGGGAGACCCGTCCGCCCCGCAGCGTCATGTTGAAGCCGGCGAAGATGTCCTCCGAGAGGTTGATCCCCCGCGATGCCTTGGCCGTACCCCCCGTACCCATCGCGAACAGCTTGTCAAAGATATCTGGATGACCATAGTGCTGCCGCACATAGTTGTACGCGAGCATGCGCTGGCCGAGGGACACGAACGACAGCTCCTGGATCTGCATGAAGCTAGCGAGGTTGGACACGCCGCCAGTGAACACGTACTCGCGGAACCCAATGATGGTCACGGGGCTCGCGGCATGTTCGGGGCGGTCCACCGTCGCCAGCAGATTGGGCATCTTCAAGCACTCCTCCAAGTACCCGTCCTGGTTCATGTCGATGCACTGGATGAGCTCGCCGCGGGAAAAGATCACGGCATGATTCTGGTTCTCTGGCTTGCCTTCGCCGACGATGGGGTCGCCAGGTAGCTCCACGCGGTACACTTCCACGATCTTGTCGTTGGCCGCCCGCACCAGACACGAAAAGTACTTTGGCGGACCCTCCTTCATCTTCTTCGGGCCGTCCACGTACGCCACGCGGAGCCCAGGGTGCTTCTTGAGCAGGTACTCAATGTCCCCTGCCTGCTGCTTGCCCTCGTCCTTTTGCTTGCCGTAGATCTGGCACGTCACGACGTAGTTGAACTTGAGCGCGACCATCTCGTCCAGGTCCTTGTTGGCAGACTCGGGCATGGGCTCGTTGTTGCCGAGCTCGAGCCAGTACAGGAACCGGATCGCTTCGGCGTTGTACATCATGCCTCGGATCGTGCGCGCCAGCGTCTGCCCTCGATACGACGCCCACAGCTGCACCTCTTCCGGCACTTTGGCCAGCGCGTCTGCCTCGTCCTTGACCTTGAACCGCTCGAGAAAGTGGTCCCACTCAACGTGGTAGATCGTTTGGAGGTAGTACAGCAGCTTGATGCTGTCGTCGTTGGCTTGCGTGAGCTCCTTGATCGAGTAGAGGACGATCTCACTGTAGTACGGCGTCGCGATCGACAGCGAGTGCATGCGCTTGACCGACTGGGCCAGCGGCATGTCCATGAACAGCGAGTTGGCAAAGAACCGGAGGCGGCGCTGGCCTTCCTCGGACCGCGGCTCGGCGTCAAAGTTGTCCACCGTGAGCACTTGGTACGCCCGGCTCACGATCGCCATGGACGCCGGGTCCGACACGAGCGTTTGCAGTTGCACCGTCGCATACTGGTGCGTCGATTCTGGCGCAATGAAGAACGCGTTGGGCTTGAGCGGGGTGTGTTTCAAGATGGCGACCAAACTGTCTTGCTTGGACAGGAGTTTCTTGAGTTGCCCTAGAACTTGCTCGGCCGAGTCGATCACACGATAGAGTGCCCGTTGAAAGTGCAAACTGTCGTCTTTCGAGCTTGTGGGCGTGTCCAGGATGGCTTGCATGAGCTCGGCACTGGCGGACCGGAGATCGTACAGATTGGCCACGTTGAGCCCCTTGAGCGCCGTTCTGTTGACGATGGACTCTTCCACGAACGCAAAGCACGGGGCCATATCGGCGTGGGCGTCGCCTAGAAGCAGCTGCAGCACCCGCACCGTAAACTTGAACGACCCGACGCACGCTTCGACGCGCAAGCTGTCCTTTGTCACGCGCTGGTGCATGGACAGCTCCACTTTGGCCAGCGCCACATCCTTCTTCTTGTCGGTCAAGAGCCGCTTATACACGTGTCCGCACTCGGCCATGATGTCCAGCGACTCGTCCAGTTTGCCAGCCGTGAGGAACGCCGGCGGGTACAGCCGCCGTCTCGAGCTGGCGTCATCGTCGCCTTCGATCAGGTAGCTCAACACACTCAGCTCTCGATTGCTCAACACATCAGCCTCGCGCATGCTGCGGAGGCAGTGGTTCCATGCCATCGCAAACGGAATCACGCGAAGGAACTCGTCACCGTCGATGCCCGTCACCACCGAGCCAAAGCAGCTCCGATTGGTGGTGCCGCTTTGGCTAGTGGGGGTGTCGTCGTCTGTCGCGCCAGAGTACAGCGTCGTTTGGATGCGAAGGGGCTGCTCGTCGATAGTGGCGGTGGGACATACTACTGGGGAGATCGTCGTCTTCTTCTTGGCAATTTGTGTGTTGGAGTGTGGGGCGTCGATGGCTTGCTGAGACACTTTGGATTCGATGGCATTTGAAACCAACTTGTAATTGAACATGCGCGGAATATCCTTGAATGCCAAGCGCAAGATGCGGAACGATCGGAGCTCGCCGATGCGGAGGTTGAAGCCGCGGACGGACCCCACGACGACGGAAAAGAGCGCGTAGAAGATCTGCGCGTCGTACATGAACACGATAAACGCAGGCAGCCAGAGGAACCCAATGTACGCGATGTTGTGAAACGTCACCTGGAGCATAAAGTTGGACACTTGGAGGTACTTGGTCGAGTCGGACATCCAAATCATGAGCGATGTCTCGACGAGGTTCTTGACCATAAACGTGTACCCAAAGAGGAGCTTGACTGTGAACAAGATGAGCCAAAAGCAAGCGTACCGGAGGTACCCGCAGCACGGCACGGGCAGGCTGCGGCCCACGTACCCGATGAACAGCCCCGAGAAGAGTCGGTTGCTCACTTCCCCCACGAGAAACAGCCCCACGAGCCCCACGCCCCCGCCAAACACCAGCGGCCCCATGTCGGTACGACTCGTGTCGATGAGTTTCACCATCAAGTTGGGCACGAGCGTCGGCGCTTGGATGTTGCACACGGCACAGTTGAGCAGGCCCGGGCCCGCGTCGTTGATCACGGCGTACGCGGCCTTTCTCCACGCCGGCATGCACTTTGTCTGGTCGTACTTGACCATCTTAAAGTCGCGAGTGTTGCCCGAGGAAGCATCCGACACGAGCGCTTTCCCCGACCCGACTTGGCTCAAGCACCGGTCCAAAGTGTCCAAGTAGCATGCACAGCGCCCAGACAAGAGCTCCATGCACGGCTGGAACGGCACGTCCACCAGAAGCATCTTAAAGTCCTGGGGAATCACGCTGAACGTCTGGCCGACCACAAAGTTGGACACGCCCAGACATGTCGCTAGCTTGGGGAGGTTGCACAGACCCGAGGTGGTCGTGCTGTCGTCGTTGGCAAGACTGTACCGGGCTTTGGGGTTGTAGTAGTACTTGCCAAAGAGCACCAGTTCCTTGCCCATGTCGGGGCCGTACATGATGGGACTCTCTGGACACAGCAGCGCCATGTTGAGTGCAAACCCCACGACCGCGCAAAAGAGCGTGAAGTTCAAGAGGAAGATGCGCCGGAACGACCACAGCGCCCGCGCCCATGACCGCGTCTCGATGAACGTCTTCTTGGCGTCCTTCGGGTTGCCCTTCTTGTCCACGGCGCCCAGCGCTTCCTTGATGTTGTAGGCGTCATACTTGAGGCATGCTTTGCTCCAGAAGAACTCGTTAAAGTCGTCGTAGTTGCGGATGTCCTTGTGCGGCGCGCGTTCGCCGAGCGGCGTCTTCTTGTCGTTGTCCTTCTTCACTTCGTCGTATATGGGGCGGATGATTGAAGTGAGGAACGCGCCAGACTCCTTGGGCGTCAACGTTGGTTGAGGCGTTGCGCACAACGAATGGAACAAGAAGCAGAGCAGTTCGGGGGTTTGGCGGAAGTTGGCGGCCTCGCCCCATATGAGGAAGAACAAGACCAAGTCCGCCAATGGCTCGGCGGAGAAGGAAGGCTTCACTCCGAGGTACTTGCACCACTTGATGTAGTTATCAAAGAGGCGAGCGTGTAGCTTTGTCACGGCTTGGATGGCGGCGTCGTGTTCGTCCTTGGGAAGGTCGTCGTTCGGTCGTCGCTGCTTGGGTGCTTTCTTCGCTGGGACAGGCGCGGGGGTTTCCAAGCTCTCCTTGTAGTTGGTTAAAAGCAGCGTCAAGTGCTCCATTTGATTCTTCGCGTTGTTGTCCTGGAAGCCAAAGATGCATTTCATGGAGTCGAAGATGTTGCCATGGATCGACGACGAGTGCAACAACGTCAGGACCGGCGCATACCGCTCGGGAGGGTTCTCCAGGTCGATGATGTTGAACCGTGTTAACTTGGGCATCGCTCCACCGTCGCCCGTCTTGGAGACCTGCCCTCGAATCATGTCCAAATATCGCGCCATCTTCTTGCCAAGACGGATCGACGATTCGTCGTCGGCTTTTGAGAATTTGAGCGCCAAGCCCCTTTCCAGCAAGTCCATGGCGATGGCAAACGCACTGTTGGCCGCTTCACTGTTCCCACTGTTTCGCGCCGCAACACCAGCATTCACGTGCACCATCGCTTCATCATGGAGCTGCCTTTGTTCTTCGAGCGATGCATCGTTGGACGCCGTCATGGTGAGGAGTGATTCCAAGTCTAATGCCCACGAACGCCACAACTCCTGAATGAATCTCAATCGTGAAACCGCTGTGAAAAACTCCGGATAATATATCCGGCTCCCGTTACAAAACCGGATTGTACCTGCATTAACTCCCCTAGGACCATTTTAAGTATGTCTATGTCGAACAAGTACATTTTGACGTACTGTACGTCTAAGTCGGATACTGGAAAACTGTCATTGGAATTGGCCAATTGTGAGGGCAATCATCAGTGGGGTACAGTAAATTGTCAACATGTGAGTATCTGAGCAAAACTTCGACAACAAGTGAAAACTTCGACAATATGTGAGTGGTGCGGTGCGGTGGAGATGCTCTTAAGTAAGCCTGTTCCTAGTACACTTTGGCTCACCTTGCGAATTCCATTAACAAGTCTCAAATCTGTGTGACTTTTACTGGAATATTTGCTGGTCAGCAAAGTACTGAACCGGATACTGGTGCGGTGCGAAAATATTTCAGTAAATTTTCAGTAAATCAGCACACAGATTTACTGATTGGCCAATCAGTAACAAGGAGTAAACCAAATTGGTTACTTTAAAAGTATGGCGTCTTATTCCTTGCACATTTTAGCAAGTCCACTGCCGATGGTGGCGCCAAGAGGCGCTGGCATGATGCACAAGACAGATGGGCGCAGCGATGGTAAATAGCACAGCTAACGCTATGCCACACATGCTCATGTGTGTCGGTAGCTGTGCTATCTACCGACCGTCGACCTGTCGCGGACCGGGTCTTATTCCTTGCACATTTTAGCAAGTCCACTGCCGATGGTGGCGCCAAGAGGCGCTGGCATGATGCACAAGACAGATGGGCGCAGCGATGGTAAATAGCACAGCTAACGCTATGCCACACATGCTCATGTGTGTCGGTAGCTGTGCTATCTACCGACCGTCGACCTGTCGCGGACCGGCCGCGAATCCTGTGCATCGACCGATGTGGTAAGTCTGCAGTGTCGTCTCGGTCAAATTACTTACTCTACAGCTCATGAAACAGCGGTATGCCAAGAACGATGACCGCGATAGAAAGATGTTCAAGAACACGACGTTGTGGCGCAATGAAAGCGCGCCTGCGTGCAGGCGACCTGGGTTCGAATCCCAGCGGTGTCAACTTAGAATTTACACACGAGATGGTGTTTACCGGTATATGTGATTTGGATACTGTGAACGCTGTTAATGGTTGTATGTGTTGCATTATACTTCGAAGTATACAGTGATCCCTCAACGTTTGCTCCCTGGTATAAATTTATACTCCGTTAAATTTTATTCGATATTAATTTACTAAGGGCCTTATGACATGCATGCATCATTTGAAAATTCAAAATTGAGGAGCCAACACCTCATATTGACAACTACACACACAAAGACATTTGAGAGCCAATGGATGCCGGTATCATCGCTGCGTTCAAGAGCCACTACAAGCGTCGTCAAATGGATCATGTTTTAGACATCATTGATGATCCTACCGTCGAGTCCGGTCGCGAACCAAGAAACTTGTACGCCGTGGACATGCTCACGGCAATACGTTGGTCGGTTTCCGCCTGGAATTGCGTCACATCAACGACCATTCGCAACTGCTGGGCTCATACGGGGGTTCTACCTCGGAACTTGGGCCATTCACTTCAGCTTTTGCTTACTGTTAATTGACCAGCAGATAGTCACCCTTCAAAGTTAATGTTCGTGGTTTCTTTGTACAATAGGCTGACTTGGAAAATTTATATTTGGAAAAGCGAGCAAACGTTGAGGGATCACTGTATTATTAATACTAGAACAATTGGTATTTATCTCACTGATATCACACATAACGTTACCATTATTATTTTGTGACTTGTGTGTACCGCACCGGTAGCTCCATTACCAGTACCAGCAATGCCATTTGAAGTGACCCCTGGAAGAATGAGCAGAAGATTAATTGGATTTTACTGGATTTTATTCTGACAGTGAAGTGTGAACTATTATACCTGTACTGTAGCTGTGAGTACTTAGTGATTAGTATTAACTCTTGAGGCAATATTGCTCGCCGGGATACCGATTCATATATTTTGATTAATCCTGAAGTGGAAAACGCAAATAATGACGTGGACCATAATTTCGACAATTCCGGTTATATTCTAATTGAAATCGTTTCCTTGAAACAACCCCGCAGAATAATAGTTGGATTCTACATTAAATAATATTCATAACGTACAAGTCCAATTTAAGGTGCTCGATCCAATTTAAGGTGCGCGCGAATTAGCCAATCAATTCCTACAAAGGCAGGTTTTAACCTACCCGCCCAAAAAATATGCAAATGGGTATACAAAGACTAAGCTTAAAATGGTGCTGGACCGCTTGTTTTAAGCTGCTTCTGGACAAAGTGATGTGAATGCTAATGAATTATAGCAGAAATCAAATCGCATTCATAACTCCCGAATAGACCTGGACTTTGGGTTCATTTAACATATTCTAGGATTATAATCCGATACCTACGACTCGACTTACATGCCTTTCCCGGCAGCGGTTCTTAAATTGGACTTTTACGTTATTATTTTCTTGGTGTATTACTTGGTAGTGAGAGAATATTAGTGCAGCAATAGTTCCCACAATTTTGGACGAGATTTCTTGCAGCAATAGTTCCCACAATTTTGGACGAGATTTCTTGGTGCAACAATAGTTGCTACATTTTTGGATGAGATTTATCAAGCCTTGGATAGCAAGAGAACTATGACCATGCTTTGCTAGTCTAGCGTCAAAAACTGTTGTTTCGTAAGCTTCTTTGACCAACACAACAATGCAGACTTTCCACATCGGTCGAGTTGGATGGGCAGGTTGCAGTAGCAGACAGATGAGTAGTTGAGGGGAGAACCGGAAGTGAATTAATTCTGACGGCAGAGGAGAAACTGGCTCTAGATGTGCCAGTTCCTCCAACAGCCAATCAAATCTTAGACTATGATTGGCCACGACATCCTGTGATGTTTCGTGACGAATCTGCGCTGTCTTCTACTATGAGGAAAAGCCTCTAGAAGGCACAAAAACCTCCTACACCGCTAGCAGACGCTGCTACCTGACTGACAGGGCAGTGGGGATGTTCTCTAGAAGAACAGGGTGTTCTGACTGGTCGATGCACAGGATTCGTGGCGGGTCCGCGTCAGGTCGACGGCGGTTGGTAGATAGCACTGCTAACGCTATGACATACATGAGCACTATATTCTCATCAAAGTGTTATGATCAAAGACATCGCTGCGCCCATCTGTCTTGTGCAGCATGCCAGCGCCTCTTGGCTCCACCATCGGTAGTGTACTTGATAAAATGTGTTGTGGTTGGAAATCGTAATGCAAGTTCCACTACCTTGATTATGTTATCCAATCAATGAACGTTATGGTTTTGATTGGACATAAATACACTGAGGCTGACATACTTGTAACGTTACTAACGTTAACTGTAACCTTGGAGAGGTGCAGTAGTCGACACAAGGCACACATGGTTCCATGGGTATCGTTATGCGATGGACGAGTTGGTGGTGGTATACAGGATTATTATTGTGTGTTCTACTCCAAATTTCCATGGGCGGTTCTTAAATCGCACCGATCCGAATGTCCGCGAAATGACCCCAATGACAAAAAGTGGGATTTCTCTT